GGGGGGGGGGGGCTTGGGGCTGGGGCCCCCATTGGAGCCGCTTCCAGACCCAAACGAAGAGCCGTGGAGCCCCGAAGGCTTCGGTTCCTCTCTAGGGACGATCTAAAAAGAGTATTTTCTACTTTAATTCGTGTTTAGTTTCTGCAAAAACGAGTCAAACGAGTCCACTCCTTGTTTTTACTGACCGTTTGACAATCTAAAGAGCATTTTCTGCTTTAATTCATGTTTCGTTTCAGCAAAAAACAAGCCTTTTCTGCTTTAATTCATGTTTCGTTTCTGCAAAAAACGAGTCCACTCCTTGATTTTGCTGACCGTTTGACAATCTAAAGGCAGATGGCCGCCCACCCTGAGCCATGGTTCTGCTCGAGGTTTCTGCCTGTTAAAAGGAAGTTTTTCCTTGCCTGTGTCGCCTAGTGCTTGCTCATTGGTGGGAATTGTTGGGTTTCTGTAATTAACTTCAGAGTAGGGTCTGACCTGCTCTGTTTGGAAAGCTGTGAGACAACTGTCGTTGTGATGTGGCGCTATATAAATAAAATTGAATTGAATTGAATTAAAGAAAGCATTTTCTGCTTTAATTCACGTTTCGTTTCTGCAAAAACGAGTCCACTCCTTGTTTTTACTGACCGTTTGACAATCTAAAGAGAGCATTTTCTGCTTGAATTCACGTTTCGTTTCAGCAAAAACGAGTCCACTCCTTGTTTTTACTGACCGTTTCGGTCCGATTGACTAAACGGATGCCCATGTGTGGAGGCTCTATGCCTGGGTTGGGTTTGGTTCTGGCTCATGAGCCTTTTTTTGTTGTGCCACTTTAAAAAAAAAGCCAGTTGCGCCAAGAAAACCACACAAAAAAACAATATTATTAAGCTAAGGTATGTTCAGAGACTCGTATAATAGAGTATATTTCTGTTTCACTACTCCTTGGTTGTATTTGTATTTGTCATGAAAACTACTTGTTTTGTCTTTCCTTTTCTTTATGGTCTAAGATGTATATGTGTATATAAATGACTCACTAATGTTTTATGGCTTATTGATCTTGTGGGTAGATGGACAGTAGTTCTGAGGGGTGGGGGGTGCTATTTGAAATGTTTAAAACGCCAAAATCTATACCTTGAGCCAAGAATGTAACTCTGTTTTGTGTTTAATAAAAAGAGATTTAAAAAAAAAGAGTATATTTCAATATCAAATATACATTTTAAACTGTATCTCAAAGAAGTTTGGGAATGCTGGAAATGACAGGTGACATAACACATATAGTAGAAAAAATGTGTTTGTTTTGGAGAAAAATACACCCAATTTGAGTTAGACTCCAGCAACATGCTTTTAAATAGTTTTAAATAGTTTAGATAGGGACAAGAACTAACAGGAAAAGCTGCAATTCCAGAAAAAGACACCTCGAACTGGAATACTGCATAAAGTTTCAGTAAAAAGAGAATAAAGTGAGCTAAAAAATGCCAGAAAACCAGTTTGTTTCTGGATGGTTGCCTATAATCAAGGCCTGTCACGTGTCATAAAACATAAAATAGAACAACAAAAAAGACCAAACCCACATCAGAATCCAATGTGGGACAATATTCCTCCTTTCAATTCCTCTCTGTAATAAAAAAGAAGAGGGGGACCATCTCCCCTGTCCTACCTATGATCCAGACTTCCAATCTATCAAAAAAACAAGCCAAAAAATAGATTTAAAAAAGCCCTGAACTGAGGAGGAATTGCTGAATGAAGCTGGACTGGTTCTCATGCTTCTTTTGAAACTCCAGGCGTTTTTTGGGGGCGTTTCTATAATCAACAAACAAGTTCCTTTTAAAGCTTTTACCTTTTCTCGCATGTAAATCATTCCAAATAGTGGATGTGTTGTTGTAGGACGAAACAATCCTACACAGAGAGAGATAATGACTACTTTCCCTTTAATCCTTTAAACCGGTTCCTGGGTGGAGCGAAGCCAAACTGAGTCCCCCCCCCCCCCCCTCCCGTTTACCTTGGGCCCAGACGTGGAGCTGCTCTTGCTGGAGGAGGCCTCCATCAGGAGGGAGTCGAACTCTTTGGATAGCTCGTCCGCTACGGCCAGCGAGGCGTTCAGGTCATCGTTCATGCTCTGGACTGAACACGAACCACACAATTAGAGCGGGACTTCACCCCCCCCCCCCCCCGCCCAAATAAAGGCTGAGACAAAAGACAAATGGAGGGTTTGTGCAGACTCACAGAGCATGTTGCTGCCAAAGCTTCCCTGAGAGCTCATGGCTGCCAGGAGGTCGAGTTATTGCCCCTGAAACAGAAATAAAACACAACGCTTTTTACGGGCTCCATAATGGACAGAGATGTATAAAAGTACTGGAGTAGAAGTACAAGTACTAAATAAAAAAATTGATTTAAGTAAAAGTTGAAGTGTTCTTTCAACACCAGACTTAAGTGGAAGTACGGAAGTACTC